GGTGGCCTGTTGTCCTAAGAGCAGACGTAGGTACCACTTTCCCATTTTAAAGACAAAGACGTTGAGCATAGAGAGACAACTGCACAAGGTCCTGAGATGGGGGAGTGGGGTGCACTGTGGTGTTTCTGACTCCAGAGGCCCTACTTCAGGCCATTATGTTTTCCTGCTCTCTACCTAAATGTCAAAATATCGGTCAGAGCTAACGTAACTGCCTTCTGTCCCATGAGGATACAATCCCCCCAAAGCAGCCTGGCCGAAAACTCAGGTCAGGAAGCACCTGTGGACACCTGCCCGCCTTCTCTGGAAGTGTACCTGAAATCACAGCTGGGTGGATCCTCTAAAACGTGACTTTGGATGGTTTCCCGTTAGAAAGGCAACGTGAGGTCGGAGCCACAGGGACGGAAACGGGTGCCCTGAGCACTGGGCTCGGAGATCGGGAAAGACGTGACGCAGGAGGGGAATGAAACCGGCCAAACAAATATGTATCTTTTGGCTCCTTTTTTTTTGCTGGAGTAGATGCTGAAGTAGCTTTTTCAAAAAGCCTTGGAGAAGGAAACGTTGTATGTCTACAAATGTCTTTTTTTTCTACCTTCACACTTGATGGGTAATAGTCTGGCACTGTGTAGGCGTCTAGGTTCAAAATTATTTGTCTTTAGAAGGGAACTTTTCTGTTATCCTTTTGTTCTTAGAAGGCCACGGTCCAGGCCCCACCTCTGCGGGTAACCTTGCTCTTCTAGCTCAGGGGCTCTCTGTGTACAAGCTTCCTCCCCCGTCCATCTCGACACCTGACTCTTCCGATGGGAAGACGCCAGTGTGTCTTCCTCACCTCCAGCATATTTCCTTCTGCGACATCTCTGACTACCAACAGTGTCCTTAGCAGAGCTACTTAGGGTATTTAACTCGCCTATTTAATTTTCAAAAACTCTTTGGCTTTTCAATCCTTTTGTTTGTTTCATTTTATGGATATAGTAACTAACCTCTTCAAACCTGTCTGATGATAGTAGTTATAATTTCCTCTTAAATTCTCTTTCCCCAAACGATCACTCTTTGAAAGAATACTGTCTTTTTTTTATTGTTAATCCTCACTTGAGGATATTTTTTTCCATTGAGTTTTAGCAAGCGTAAGGAGGGGAGATTTGAGAGACACACATCGATTGGTTGCCTCCCGCACGTGCCCGCCTCCCGGGATGTCGCTCACTTCTCAGCGGTGTGGGTGGCGGGGAAGCCACTGGCCAGCGCTGCTGGACTGTGCCCTGGGCGGCTGTGCCTGCAGCTCCCCAGCTGCTGACGGGGCTCAGACCCATCTCCGCTGCGGCTCTTCTGCTCCGGTTCACTCGCAGCCCCCAACACGAGGCCGGGGCTCAGGAGGCGCATGCGAGGTAGCCCAGTAACGTAAAGATCCAGTTTCCAGTTTGACAGCGGGTTTCCCTCCCCTTCCGCGAGCCCCACGCTGACTTTAAGGCCATTGGATTCCCAACGTTTTATGGTATGAAAGTTAGTCTACATTCGGACGCTGGCAAACCTCCCCCCAGAACTGGAAATAACACCAGCACCGCTCTACCCACTGGCGCCCGCTGTCCCACAGCAGTTCCTGCCGGCTTCAGTGGCCTTGTCTGTGTGTTTATCATCTGACTCCACCCCCACCGAGTGTCAGCCCCTGGGGGGGGTCTTGTAACACCCCCTGCCCCCCCCCCCCC